GGGCTGAGCGGGACTTTGGACCCCATGGGAGGGCGGCTACGTGGCCACCGCGCACAACTGCCGCAAACACAGCGCTGTAGAGATTTCTGCTCCTCCATCTACTCCAACTCGAAATTGTCCTACCAGTTAGTTACCATTGCGGGGAAGGGCTGCAAACACACGGCTTGCTCCACGGGCCTTATTTTCCTTGGAAACCCAGCTAAATAGGGTGGGGACTGCAAGGTGCTGGTGCGTGCGGCTCCTGGGCCATGCCAGCGCCACGGAGAGGCACTTGGGAGCAGCATCACCAGGTTCCTCAGGCTTGGCCACCGCCTGCCCGGATGCCCTGCTTGGTGTGGTGGGCTGTTACCTGCTGCCCGCTGCGGCCACGCAGCAAACCTCACACTGCTCGTAGCTCACGCATGCCGATGCTAAAATCGCTGTGTTTTCTGAAAAAAACAGCCCCCTTCTCACCTGCTGTCCCTGCTTCATGGAGGCCCGCAAGTTTTGGCTCTAAACCCTCGGCTGAAATCTACTTCCCAAATACTGCCCCAAGGTGGAAGGACAACTCCTCCGCGTGGTCTCCAAGGATTGTGTCCCGGTTTCAGCCCATCCTGCTTTGCTCAGGGGATGCTCAGAAAACTGCCACACACCTTTTGCTGCCTGACCTGTCAGAGCAAGGGGACGCCAAGACCACCGGCCCCATCTCCACCTCCCTGCAAGAGCGAGTGCACCAGGGGGGCTCACAAAAAGCACGAGGGCTGAGGAAATCATTTAACTGGGAACTGGAACATCTTAAAAGGAAAAGCCCTGGTGAGCTCTGCCAGGCAGCAGCCAAAAGCAGCCTTGCCCAGGTCCCCAGAGCTTGCAGAGCTGCATGTGCTGGTGGCCACATGTGCCGGTGGCCACCTCCGGCATCACGGCCTCCAGCACGCATCCCAAGGCAGCCAGCAGAAAGCCACCCCCAGCGACCCAGGCCAGCCTTTTTGGCATAAGAAAACACAAAGTCAGATGTCTCTGGCCAGATATAAAAAAACCCACATACCAAAACCAGAGTCTTCAAGGAAAATCAGTCGTTTTCTTGCCCATCAAACATCAGCTTCCAAGCAGCTGATCTGCGTGCCTAATTTAGGAGGCTGCTTGGTCCGGATCGGAGGAGTGGGCGATGTCGGCCAGTTGCTACCAGAGGAAGAAATCAGAGCTCAGCCCTTACAGCCGGGCAGGGAGAGGGCCTGTTTGCCGCTCATGACCAAAGGGGACATCTCCTTGCTCTCCCCACCCTGCACCCAGCCGCTCTCTATGCCACCAGCTCTCCCATCTCCACCAGTGCCTCCGGCCACTCCTGGCCATTTGCAGTGCAAGGAGAGGCAGGAAAGGGCAGCGGGGGCCAAGGAAAGCCACCGACGACACTCCTGCCTCCTGTCCTTGAAACCGCTCCAAAATCACTTCTCACCACTCCTACCTCCCTCCTCCTCCTCATCACCTTGACTCTGTGCACCCCAGGTATGGCAATCGGCAGGTCGCTCCTGCCGGGCGCTGGGCTGCCGACGCAGCCGTGGGCTTGCTGCCAGCCGGGGGCTGCTGGCCCGCTGCACTCCCCCGGGGCGGCCGGTGTTTCATGCGTGCGCAGTCACCGCCCCAGCTCCGGGCAGGTTCTTGCACGTTCCTGAGGACAGAGTAAACAGCACCGCTCGACCCCGCCGCGCTGCACCTCCTGCAGCCTGGGGTGAGAGGCCGGGCGGGTGGATGCAAAGCTTCCCAAGACCTCCCCAGCTTTCAGCAAGAGACCGTCCTGATATTCCCAACAAAATATTTGGTGGGACTGCCAAGTTGAAAACATGCTGAGTTGCAGATGGCAAGAAGTCTTTTTGCAGTCATCCTGCCAGCATGACAGGACTTCCACTGGGAAGCCAATTCTTAGCTCTAGAGTAGCATTATGGGTTAAAAACCAGAAAAATCAGCAGTAACTAATGGGCAGCTCCGCTGCTAGGAGCGTTGGCTGCAGAATGCAAAAAATGAGTTAAAGTCACAGGTCTGCAGAACTGAAAACAAGAGCTTGAACCGTAATCTGCTTTGCTGCTCCAAGCCTGGCCTCTCCAGGGGCACGGCAAGCAAAGAATTAGAAACACGTAGTTATCACCGCTCACCAGAAAACAGCAGCCACCAGCCATGGGACGGTTACAGCCTACACTGCTCGACAGCAACCCTTCAGGATCCCCTCGCCAGCCCGCTGGTCGCTCCTGTTATCAAGCCCACGCTGGAGTAAGGACAAGGGCTTTTGCCCTTCCCTGCCCTGCTGGCACCCGCCGGGCTGAGGAGGGACCTGCGGCACCGGGAAGCCCCCGCTGGGCTGGGAAGGGCTCTTTCACCTCGCCTTAGGAGCGGTTCTCTGCAGACACCCAGTGACTGCGGGGCCAAAGCCAGACTTTGCCTGGAGGAGAGGTGCTGCTTTCTCACCGTTAAAAGGAGACCCAACCCCGTGCAAAGGCGCTCACCAGCAAGGTGGGAAAGCTAGGCTGATGCTGCCAGGCTGAACCCAAAGGCGAGGGGGCTGAGCCCAGGTCTCCGTCCCCCTGCCAGCACCCGGGTACCAGCCTGGCTGAGCCGGGGAGCACCCTGGCTGCCTTCGGACCACCAGCTCCCCCCTGCAGGCTCGCTGCTGCGCTCCACGCCGGGCCCTGCTGTGCGCTAGCCGGGCACACCCTCCATCCCTTTGTACAAGCAAAGCTTCCCAGGGCTTTGGGCTCGCTCCAGTACTGTGTGGGAGTAGTTTTTTGGGTTTTTTTTAAAACACGAGAATTGTTTTACAGTCAAGTCTATTCAGTGCAATCTCAGCGAGGAAAGGACTGAATTACCCCCTTTGCTCCTCTCCAAAATCCAGCAGGATCTTTAATTTCACCAGCAAAGGGGCAAAAGAAACCCGTGACAAGGCGAGGGCATGTGAGAGGCAAGCTGGGAGCACCGACCTCTCTCTGACACAGGCTGCTTTGCCTGCTGGAAATCCTATCTCTCTGTTACATAAAGACCTGGCCCTATCTGGAAAGCTGGGGTCATTGCATTTCTCCAAGTGTGGTAAAATGCTCGGAGGTCCTCAACAGGAAAGCATGCGAGAAGTGCCAGCTCAGATCAATGTCGGGGAGGGGTGCTCGGCACGGGCCAGTGCGAGCCCCGGGGCTGAGCCCAAACCTAGCTGCTAGGCCAGTCAACTTCAGCCAGATGTAAGGTGGCTACCAAGGAACCCCATTCTCCCAGCCTTGGACTTCTTTGACTTTAAAGAGGTGACTCCACCAAGCAGGTCCACTTTCAGACAGGACTTATGCAATAGTTTGGAGCCACTCCATGTGACCCAGACTTGCTGGCCCCCTGCCACCACTCTCTGCTGGCTTCAGCCATGCACAAAACAGCAGAATTAAAAAGACGACCGAGCAGTCATTAAAGGAAAGTGCATCTCACCTACCATACAGTGCCCCTACCAACTACAGACACGCACAATGCATGTAAGTATGCACATGCCTGCTACCTCCGCGAGCATGCACGCCCCCTGCACGAGGATGCACGTTCCCTGCGCGAGGATGCATGTTCCCTGCACGAGGAGGCATGAGGATGCACACTACCTGCACGAGGATGCACGGTCCCTGCACAAGGAGCGCGAGGATGCATGTTCCCTGCACGAGGAGGCACGAGGATGCACACTACCTGCACGAGGATGCACGCTCCCTGCACAAGGAGGCAGGAGGATGCACACCACCTGCACGAGAATGCACACCACCTGCACGAGGAGGCACGAGGATGCACATCACCTGCATGAGAATGCACGCTACCTGCACGAGCATGCATGCCCCCCGCGAGAGGATGCACGCTCCCTGCACGAGCATGCACACCACCTGCATGAGAATGCACGCTACCTGCACAAGGATGCATGCTCCCTGCACGAGCATGCACGAGGATGCACGCTACCTGCACGAGCATGCACGCCCCCCGCAAGAGGATGCACGCCCCCTGCACGAGCATGCACACTCCCTGCACAAGGAGGCATGAGGATGCACACTACCTGCACAAGGAGGCACGAGGATGCACACCAACTGCACGAGCATGCACGCTACCTGCACGAGGATGCATGCTCCCTGCACGAGGAGGCACGAGGATGTACACCACCTGCATGAGGATGCACACCCCCCCACAAGAGGATGCACGCCCCCTGCACAAGCATGCACACTCCCTGCACGAGCATGCACGCTACCTGCACACCACCTGCATAAGCATGCACGCTACCTGCACGAGGAGGCACACTACTTGCACGAGGAGGCACGCTCCCTGCAGGCACGTCTGTGTTCGGTACCCACACGCCCCTCTGCATGCCCCCATGTACCGCCCACACCTCTGGATATGCCGTGCACGAAAGCCGTTTTTATAGCTGGCATCTCCATGTCTGCGTGATTGCCCTTCTGCCTTCACAAACCTACCCCTACTTTCTGCGGGGTTCAGCGCAGCCTGGAGAGAATCCAGATCTCCTGGGCCTCTGCAGAAGCAGCTCCCTCCCTGTGCTCCCCTGCACCACCGAGCGGCACGGCTCTGCTGTGCTTGGGATGCCAGGGAACTGCCCAAGGCTGAAGGGCCAGGAACGCTCGCACCTCCGAGCAGGCAGGGAAGCAGCCGCAGCCGCTGCAACAGCCCGGCGCAGCCATCTGCGTCCCGGCAGAGCTGGCTCCCACAGCAGCCCTTCAGCAGGCTTTGTGCTTACACAACACAGCAACACGAGGCACCGAGCCCTGGGGTTGCATAAAGACAAACACCCTCCCGTGCCAACACCGAGCTCCACTCACCTGCGTAACCGCCACCGGCTCGCTCCAGGAGGGATCTGGTCTGGGAAAGGGATGTGCTGCTTGTCCCAGTTCGGGCAGTAGCGCGTTTTGTACGGTTATACCTTAGAATTATAGAATTGTTTAGGTTGGAAAAGCCCTTTAAGCTCCCCCAGCCCAACCCTTCCCCTACCCCTGCCATCCCACCCCCAAACCCCGTACCTCAGCACCGCCTCTGCCCGGCTGTTATTTCTAACAGCTTCTCACAAAGTCACTAATCAGTCAAGGAACTATCTGCTTCAAGAATAAATCAGCAGGCAAACTGGAAGAAAAGCATTCAGCCATGGAGCTGACAAAATTAGAACAGCCCCACCACAGGAGCTGTGCGCTGGAGCAACCGCCGCTCCCCAGCAGCCTGGGGCTCCAGACCCTTCCCCAGCTCCCTCCGTTGCTCTCCTCTGGACATGTTCCAGCATGTTCCTTACAAAGACCTATCACAGCTCACACGCCAAGCACCCTACATTTGACTCTTTCATCAGCCTGGCCTCAGGGCAGGGCCATACCCCACACCTCTGCAGTGCTGTACCCATGCTGGGACCCCCCGACAAAGGCGCCTCTGGTCTTCAGACTGGAAGTGCTGTGCTAGAGGGCAGAGCCCCTCTGCAGCCCCGCTCATCGCCTGCCACACCATGTGCGTCCATGGTACAGCACAGCCTCATCAGCTGAAGGAACAAGAGACCCCCACCAAGCTTCCCAAGAGCATCTGAGGTGACTCTGGTCACCCAGAAGGGCTGTGAGAAGCACCATAGGACCTGCAGCGAGCGCAGAGATCTGCAACTCCTTCTACCACCACCACCCCACGGCAGGGCACCCCATGGCAGGGCAGCATCTAACGCTGCACCCAGCAATAGCACAGTCGTGGAGAGGGGAAGGGATCCACAGCATTGCCTGGCTCCAGCACCCATTGCTGATTTGGTCCTGCCAGACTGAATCAAAGAATAACGGAGGTTGGAAGGGACTCGAGGGGATCTCTGGTCCCACCCTACTTTCAGAACAAGGTTAACTTTGACTTTAGATCAGGTTTGGATGACAAAACCCAGCCTGTCTCGGGGGGTCACATACACAAGTGGTTTGGAGGAAGCGCAGTGGGGACCCTAGAGCAGCAAATGGCAGTTTGGGCCACGCTCTCCTTCCAGGAAATCAGAAACGTGTCCTTGCAGAGAAGTGGCTGCATTGTGGTGACACGGAACAAGGCAGAGGAGCCCTGGCTGGCCCATCCTGCTCTGCTCTACCTGCCCACTTGGCCATGTGCTCCCAGCGCCTCGGGACCGGGACTCCCCCTCCGCAGACGGGCAGGCAGCACCCAGCCTCCCGGGGCACTGAGAGCACGGGGGCACCGAGAGCACGGTAACGCAAACACAGCTTCTGCTGCCAACCCCGTGGCCTCCCTGCCTTTCAAAATGTCCCTGCAAGCAGGTGAACCCTACGGGCTCTGTTTCACAGCAGGGCAAACCAAGGCAAGCAGAGAAGTGATTCGGCAACAGCCAAACAGGAGGTCTGTGCAAGAGCATGGGGGACCCCCCTTCACAGAATCACAGAATGGCAAGGGTTGGAAGGGACCTCGGGAGATCATCTAGTCCAACCCTCCTGCTCAAGCAGGTTCTCCTAGACCATGTTACACAGGACTTCATCCAGGCGGACTTTGAATATCTCCAGAGAAGGAGACTCCACAGCCCCCCTGGGCAGCCTGGGCCAGGGCTCGGGCACCCTCAAAGGAAAGAAGTTCTTCCTCCCATTCAACTGAAACCTCTTATGTTTCAGTTTGTGCCCATTGCCCCTTGTCCTGGCGCCGGGCACCACTGCGAAGAGTCTGGCTGCGTGACACCCACCCTTGAGATGTTGATGAGTATGTGTTGATGAGTGCAAGGCAGTGTGAGCACGACAGCGAGCACCCACAGACCCCAAGACACGTTACCATGGAGGAACGTGCTAGGGGAAGCTCTGCTGCAGGATGAATTCTTGCAGACCGCATCGGGCTATGGACTCCATCCAGCCCTTGCAGATCGTTTCCAGGCTCCGGCTCCCTTAAGCGAGCTCTGCTGTGCAGAGAGTTTATGGGCCCTTCTTCCCCTCCCTGCAGGTTTCTCTGTTCAGGGAAACATATGGCCCAGATGGTTTGGATTTGATGGGGTATGGCAGGGTGCAACAGAAAATATGCCGACTCACAAGCATGTGTGGCTTCCTAACGAGGAAGCTGCAGCCCCAAGGCCACCGAGTACATTTGGCTGTGCCCAGGCGCGGAGGAGCTGCCTTCGTTCATGGCTGGGGAATGAAGAGCTGCTAATCCCCATAGGGCTGAACTCATCCTTTGCACCGTGGTTTTGACCCAAGCCGCTTCAGGGTGAAGCCCGTGGAGGTCAGCGGCACAACCCCCACAACAGGAGGCCGGGATTTAACCCTTGAGTTCAGCCCAGCTGGAACCAACACTTAGGAATGTTTGAGCTCAGAAGGATTTGCAGAAATGCGCAGGAATAAATTCATTTCAACTCCTTTCCCCTTGAAAAATTAAGCTACAATGGAAGAGTCAGAAGCCCAAGAGCAATAATGGTGGGCTGGGATGATAAACCGAAGTGTAAAGGCACTGCAGAGTCAGACACGGCATATCCCAAGCATTCTTTTCCCAGCCTGGGAAAATGCAGAAGGTAAGAGAGTAGCAGCAAGGGAGCGGGCGGATGGAGACCCCGGCACTGAACGCACGCCGCTGACATTGCTCCGCTCAAGTCAGATGGAGCTGAAATATTTTGGCAGAGTTTCTCAGCAGAGAATCTCCCAGTTCTTGAACTGGTTGCAGACTTAATTGAAGGCACTCACAGCAACAAAGATGGGAAAATTTGCTTTGACGGCGTCCCTTTAAAACCTCCTTCAGTGTTAAAAACTGAGCCTGTATCCAGGCTGGTGGTTTTCCATGTTTCTCCCTCCCCAGTCGCTGCATGGGATCCAACCTGCTTACGGATTCCCAGGAAATGTTTGTAACTCCTTGGCCCTGCAAACATTTCCTACGGTGGTGGGGTTGAGCGAAGATCTTTGTGACCTGCGTATCTTCAGCGCATCTGAGCTGACATCACCCGAATCACTAGGGACTTCTTTCTGAAAACTTGACAAATTTGGGCCAAATTCTGTTTGTTTTAAGCTCATTTGTGTTAACTTGAGATCTAGGCAGGACAGGACGTGACAAACACATCCTGCGGTGTTTCTGGCTTCGAATGAACTAATTGCTGGAAACTTGGCAAGAAAAGTAGTTTTGGGAGTTGGGGGTTTCAGATAAGCTGTAGATACAGGCTCGAACAGAACCATCCCCTGGGTGGGCCTGATGCAACCTGCGCTGAAAAGCCCACCAGGAGCTGCTCCTCGGGGCGGCTGAGCCCACGCGGTCCCTGGACCGGGGCTTCGGGCGATGATAAGCACACTCACTCCTCCCCGTAACAGTCTCCGGGTGGCCTGGAGCTGTCAGTGATAACGGAGCCTCTCCCGTTACAGGTTTGCACGTTGGTACTGAAAAAGCCTCCGGCATGACCAGCGGCCGCTGTAAATGTTGAGCAGGCGGTGCCTTCCCTTAGGGCTATGCTTCGCCCCATCCGCCCCTCGCTCAGCTGCAGCTTATCGGGGTCTTCCTCTGCCAAATGAAACAGTTCAGCCCCCGAGCCTTATCTGGGAAAAACATGATTTACAGGAGATGACAGGACCTTTCCCATTCCACCCAACAAGCAGCTGCTTGGGGAATGCAACTGGAGACACACCGACGAGCGCCAGAGGTTTTTAGGGAGGTAAGGAGGAGAAGGAAAGGAGAGGGTGCTGCTGTGGGGCGAAGCAGGAACAAGGGGAAGGCGAGGACGGAGCAAGCGGAGCGCTCCGCATGTTCCATATATGGAGAAACTTTGGGACACTGGAACAACCTCCCAAGAACTGGAGGAAGCCTCACTGATGGAGGCATTTGGGACTAGTCCGGGCAAGGCTATGGATGAGCAGAGCAGAGGGAACACCCCTGCGCCGGCTGGGGAATGACCTGGGCGCCTGACAAAGCATTTCCCCTTCTGCCATCTACAGCGTGGGGAAGACCAGAAACGAACAAAGACTTAAAAAAAAAAATTAAAAAAAAAAATCTCCCTGCTCTCCCGCATCACGCACCAGCTCGCACGCCGTCACCACGTGAGCTCTGCTAATGAGAATATTAATGAACAGAATAAGAACCCCATCTCTGGTGTGGCTGAGCAATCTCCAGCCAACGTGGGTGTTGGCATGGACCAAAGCGGGACAACAAACGCCCCCCGAGGTTTACATCCCTCTATACGCTTGACCAGAAGAGTCCCCCCAAACGAGCCTCCATTTCAAATTTTAAATTTTGCCGCACAGCCGTGGCTGGCGCCGAAGCAGGGTACCTGCCCTGGAACGCGGCTCCGACCAGCACGGCTCCGTGCTTCCCTCTCGGTTTGATTCTTCCCCACTGGAAGATATTTGCCAAGGTTATTTTATAAACTCCTTTCTATTTATAGCACAGCCCCTTCGGCTCTAATGAGATAATCTTCTGGCATTTCACCATCACTAATATTTACTTTGATGTTTAAAATAACATGTTCTGAGGGATGGATTTTTTTTTTTTTTAAAAAAAAAAAACCCCACCCCAAAACCTTTAAAACATAATCAAAGCAAAGAAATACCTAAGTAGTGCAACGAGGTCAACGCCTGGTGATGCACACCAAGTTAATGACATCGCAACTTTTTCAGGGCAGACAGTTTCTAATCCTCTGACCACATCATACGGGAGGGAAAAAGGCATTGGCAGCTCCCGAGGACGGAGAGAGACAGCGAAAGAGGGAGAGGAAGCGCAATATGTGTTTATTCTCAGGAATGAAGACGGCAAGGAATGTGTAATTCTGCAAGGGGGATCATAGCCGTGGCGTCCTCTAATCGCGAGTCTCGCCCAGGGCAGCTCTGCCTACGGGATTGGTATTTTGGAGCAGCAAACATGCGATCGGGTGGCGGAACGCAATAAAAAAAAAAGTGGAGCGGTGTGGGGATGGGGGAGGCGAGGGAGACAGCGGGCGAGCGCAGATGCCTGACTCCTGCTGTCTGCAGACACTTTGAAACACAACCCTGCGTTTTTATGGAAACTCTGAATGCTGGAGAAGGGTGAACATGGTTTTCATTCTCATAAATGTTTTTCCAGCGGGCAACGCTCTTCGGGCTCATTCCTTCTCCAGGGAGACGGTTCTGATTTCAAAGAACATTCGCGTTCCCTCCACCCCAGACCACCCCACTCCAACCTCAAAGAGGCTTCTCTGGAAAAATTATTTTAAAGATTGTTTTACCTTTTCGAGTGTTTTCCCTTCTTTCTTCTTTTTCCCCTTTTAATTCCTTGAGCTTCTTTTTTTTTCTTCTTCTTCTTCTTCGTCTTTTTCCCAGCAGCAGCCAAACGCTTCTCTCTCCCCCTCAGTCCTGCGCGGGTCAGAAAGTTTCCAGGCTGAGGGTTTATGTCGCCTTCCTCAATAACCTTCTTCTGTCAGACCCAGGCAGCGCTGGAGCTTGAGGCTTTGCTAAAAAGTCTCCTTTCAGGAAACCTCTGAGCAAAGGAATTTCTGGCATCTTGGTTGGAGCTGGCACCAACCCATTTTCCTTTGTTCTCATTAAAGGAACCATAATATGCTAAGTTAAGTTTAAAAAAAAAAAAAAAAAAAAAAAAAAGAAAAAAAAAAACAACTTTGCACAGGAATTTTGCCAGGATTATCAAAAAAAAAAAAAAAAAAAAAAAAAATCCCCAAATCCACAAGGCTGTAAAAGTCCCGCCCTGGCTGCTGACATCAGTGCAGAAGGCAGGTCTTGCCTCCAACAGTATAAAATGAACCGGCGAAGCCTTTCGGCAAGGGAGCGGGCAGCGATGGTCCCCAGGCAGCCCCAGCTGCGAGCAGAGCCCCGGGGGCGATGCAGGCAGCCCCCCAGCCCCTAAAACCCTCCCGATGAAAGCGACGGAGCAAAGAGGCCGTGCTGACTGCCGCAGACAGAATGGACAAGGCAAGCCAGCAGCTCCAACAGTATAAAATGAACCGGCGAAGCCTTTCGGCAAGGGAGCGGGCAGCGATGGTCCCCAGGCAGCCCCAGCTGCGAGCAGAGCCCCGGGGGCGATGCAGGCAGCCCCCCAGCCCCTAAAACCCTCCCGATGAAAGCGACGGAGCAAAGAGGCCGTGCTGACTGCCGCAGACAGAATGGACAAGGCAAGCCAGGATCTGGGGGTTCCCCCCCCCCAAAAAAAAAAAAAGAACAACGCTCCCAGCCTTCATTTTAACCGTAGCTTTCAAAGTGCTTTCACAAAGCCAGCGCACGTCTGATGAAATGGCCTTAATAAAGGCAGTTGCACTCTACGGTAATGTTAGGTATTGGCTTTATATTTTAAAAAGCCCTCAAGAACGCGTCCTAATGTTTTAAGAAGCCCCTTCCCTCCTGAGTTACATCATTTTTGCCCTGCTGGCTCTTGCGATGCCTCAATTCCTCTTGTTCTGCTGCCACCGCGGAGCGTCCCACAGTGGACAATGCATTTCCAAAGCCATGAATAAACATTGCAAATAATAAAATACTGCTTGTTTGAAAACAAAGCCCTCTCAGGACACATAAAACAATAAGCAGCAATGAAGGGCAGGAGCTCATTTCCTTCTTCCTTCTGAAGTCGTCTTTGAGATTAGAAAGCTGAATGTGCGAGCCTCGGTAGAGAGAGAATTACCTGGCAATTCTGCAAATATTATTAAAATATTATATATCATAAAAACGGGTGCTTCCAAATCGCCGTGCGCTGTCCTGTTTTTATCTGGATGCAGAGAGAGGCCTTGGGAAGGAGGCAGGGAAAGGGCAGCAGCGCCCGGCAGCAGACCTCCAGCCTGAGCCCATCACTGGGGACAGGGGGACCCCAAAATCGTCCCCAAGAGCCTTTTAGCATAAGAGGATTTGAATGAAGAGGAAGGGGGTGATCAGGGGTTTGGAGCCTGGGGAAGCGCAGCGGGGATGCCAAGCCTGCAGGACAGCCAGCTCCGCCAGACTGCGTGTCCTGCCGTGGCCCTTCTAGGTATGTGCATTGCCAAATCTGCAGGATCCGGCCCCAGGGGAGAGCCAGTGCTCTTGGCGACGGTCCTGGGTGCCACCCAGGCTGAGCCAGCATCGGTCCGTAACCATCTGAGCGTTAGATGGGAATAGAGGAAGGCAAAGCCACAAAGGCCTGGCCAGCCCTACGTCTTCATCGGATGCTGGCCATGGGACGCCTAAGAAAAGGGATTAAGAAAAAAAAGCAAGAAGCTGTGGTACTTTTTGTGGTACATTCTCCTACATCCTCTGCCATCCCTAAGCTAAATGCAGGGCTGAGCCTAGGCCAGATGCCGTATCTTTGCATTTCACAGCCATTTTCTTCCATGAATCTGTGTAAACCCTTACTGAAGCCCTCTGAGCACCACTCCTCAGATGGCACGGCAGCGTGAAAATGAGCAAAAACATCCTTTTCTCCCAGAAACAGATGCCTGACAGTGGGAGTTCACAACCCTCAGCTCCAATCCCAGCGCTGCCTCGGCCCCAGGGCATCCCAATGAACCAGGGCAACCCTTCCTTACAGGCATTCAGACTGGAAAAGCCTGGCTCTCCGGTTGAAAACAAGAGTTCAAAGAGACTACAATTGCTGGGCTGGATTTTTT